GCGCCGGTGGATACCCCAGGTCCTGTGACAGTCGTGGCCCAACTGCTTTGGCTCGATGTAATAGTCCAGGGGGGCATAAAACCTGTGATAGCATTCATCCGTTTCGGCCCACAATGCCTCTTCGTCAGCGAGCTGCCCCCAATGGGCTGCGAAGGCAGTTGCCATTGCCTTGCACAACTTTGAAGGATATTCTTTGAGGGGGGCGGTCCTCCAGCCGCCCTGGCCGTCTCGTCCGTAAGCTCTGTCGCGTCCGTTATGTCGGCACAGCTGTCCCCCAGGTACTGCCCCAAGCTCTTGCGTGAGTTCACTGAGGTGCACCGCCATCAGACATGTTGGCTTTCGCGCGGCCTGCCCAAACTGGCACTGGTTGATGTAGTGTAGTTCGACGTTCTTCTGCTCCAACAGCCAAAGCGTCTCCGCTCGCTGCCAGCTGCTCGGCGCTTGAGGACACCAAGTAGCTGGGGCAGGATGCTCGAGTACAGCGGATACATTGTACTGCAAGCCAGTGATGATGAGTAGTAGAGCTGTCCTGTATAGCTCGTTGGCTAGTGCTAGCTGTTGAAGCTCCGCTTGATTGGCTGCTTGTATGCCCCAGGGGAAGTCGTGTGTACGTAGTGGGCGTGGAGCTTTTCCCTCGGCGGCGTGCCAGCGCGATGAGCACCGCGTCTCGCAGGGGGGGCCAGCTACGATGCCGAAAATTTTGCCCTGTCGTATCGCCGCGCACCAAAACTCGACGACGTCTGGCTTCGTCAGGTCGCCTTTGTCGGGGTCTATCTGCGCGTCGACTGATAATACTACCAAATTGCATTCCCGAGTCTTCATCTCGAAGTGGTGCTGGAAATCCTCCACTCGGCGTCTACCTGAAAAAAGGTGCAGCAAGAACATAGCAGTAGTAACCATGGGCCTGCACGGTGCGAATGTCCTTGCTGGCGGCGCCACTGCCTGAGGGGCCGCTGCTGCGGGCGGCGCAGGCGAGAGCTGGAGCTGATGCTGTTCGATGTGGTCGGCGAGCTTGATGTGTGTGACCTGTTGAACAGGCACCAGCGCCTTAGTAGCTCCATGACCCATTGCCTTCCTCGTCGCCACCGCCTCTCGTTCTTCTTCTCGGCGTTCGGCTGCCTCCTGCAAATCCATCGGAACTTCAATTGCTTGGAGTACAGCCAGGCACCTGGGGCACCTTCTCAGGCGCTTGAGTATGCGCGATCGCGTGATGAAGTCCTTCCCGCACCCAGGGCAGGTTGACGAACGGGCGAGTAATTCGGGGAGGTCATAGCCGATGTGCTCCATGGTGCTGTGGCGCTTCCATGCCCCCCGGGTTTTTAGGATCTTGCCACACTCATAGCATATGTAGCCACTGTGTTGTGCAGGTGGCCGCCCATCGAAGTTGGGCGTGGTCAGTCCAAAGTCTTGCGCAAGCCGGTGCAACTGCCTTTGCCATATCCGATGTCGATATATGTCGTGCTGCCATGCCTTGTACCTGAGCCATTCACGCGTAATCATGGCTTGTGCGGCTTGCTCTTGCTGTGTTCGTAACCATCGTACAAGGCCCCTGATGTCGAAGCCACTGTCCTCGTCGTCTAGTAGGAATCTTCTTAGCCAATCCAGATCCTCGACGATAAGTACATTCCAGGCTCTACTGTGCTCCCAGAGCTCGTCGATGAGACGGTGAAGGAAGGGCGCGTCCGCATGCACCATTCTGACCAGGTACATCAGGCGCCGTCGTCGCAGATACATGTGGATCGGTACTTCATCACATATCAAGTATATTTCGTCGTCCAAGGTATGTACGTGCCCTGCACCGTGTCGCTGTTGCCGTGCGGCGGCTCGAAGGCTCGCCATGTGTCTGCTCTGCAGCATCTGCCTCTGTTGTGCTGTCAACGGCCCCCGTACTTCGCAGTCGTAGGTCAGCTTGCTCTGCGCCAGTGCCGTGAGGTACAGCATCTTGGCTTTGAGGTCGATGTGCGGCAGACGGAAGATGGATTTCTTCAAGGGCCCCTCTGCAGATCTGTGATCGATGATGCGTCTCATAAGGTTCGGTCCCTCACCGCCGTCACTTGCCACAATATTGCCCAATGTGAGTCCCTGAGTCGTGACTTCAGCTGTGGTGACATCAATGCTGGTCAGCAGCTGGCAGTCCTCGCGGTGCAATGTGATGGGGCTTGTCTGGAAAATCCTCGCTTTGATATGCTGTTTGGCGTGCCCGTCTATATGCAGCAGGGCTTTGGTCTTCTTGGGGTGTAGCTCGTGCCCGAAGATCTTGAGTCTCCTCGCAATGATGGACAATATATCAAAGATGCTGCTCTCGATTTTTGTGTTATCCCTGAGTACGCACAGGAATGTCGCATCGTCCATGAAGGATACTTCTGGCAGGGTCCCTTCGTGACCTCGGAGCTGGCCTGTAGTGGTAATGGCTTGATCTCCCGCTGGTGGTAGCTGCAATGAGTACCCCCCCGAGTGTAGCTCCTGCTCCAGCGGGCCCAGGGCGTGCGCGAAGCTGGTGTTGAAGATGAGGTCGGCCAGGCCGTTGCCTGGGCGTGTGCCCTTGCGGCTCTCTGCGCAAAGCTCATCTCCCCGTACTTGGAAGAATGTCATGTCGCGTGCTTCTTCCAGCTGAAATCGAAGGTTCTCGTCTACGTCGTTGAGCGCTAAGTAGCCTGGTGCCGAGATCAACTGCTGGATGGCGGGCATGAGCCATTCAGGTGGGTCGCCTCCTGCCATCACCTTCTGAAGCCAGGGCTTCTCACCCTCCCGCCCCAGCACGAATTCGCGGATGACAGAGTAGAAGGCCTGTCGGAGGTCCAACAGGATGCCGACGGCGCTGAGACGCATTCGCCTGCAGATCCCGAAGAACGCTTTGATGGTGTGGGTGGAGTACGCGCCTGACTTCTTCGGGATTCCGCCATGCTGAGTGACTCTCAGCAGGCAGCTGCAGACCCTCAACGTCGTTGAGCGGAGCCACTTGTGGTAGTGTTTGGCCACTGTGTTGTTGAGGAGGATCGACCTGTAGTACTCCAGTAGGGCCCTCGTGCCGCTGCCCTTGTGAAGCTTCACTGCAATACCTGCCTTGAATTGGATTGGTTCGCGGCCTCGCAAGATCGTCTTCAGGACGACAGGATACCAGTGGCGGGCCGTCTCCTCGGGCGCGAGCTTGAGGATGTCGTCCAGGTTGCCATCGGGTCCTCCTGCTCGACCCTTCTTGCCGTCTGCGAAGCTCTCCACCAGGTCGTTGAGTGTCATGTGCAGGTGCTGCGAAACCTCGTCGGGTGGTGATCTGTGGGTACCCTCCTCCTCCTCCTCCTCCTCCTCCTCCTCCTCCTCTCCTCCTCCTCCTCCACCTCCTCCTTCCCTCCTTCCCTTTCCCCCCCCCCGAGGTCGGGGCGGGGCAGTCTGGGGAGCTCTTTCGCCCAGCTCCAGGCCCTTTGCCCAGGAGCACCTTGGAACCCCAGGGAGGTCTCGTTCCCTATAGCTCCGTGTCCCCTGTGGTGGCAGCTTCACTGCATGCGCCCTCCTGGCCTGGCCCACACGGCGGGTACAGTCAGCCCGCACAGTAAAGATGGGCAACCTTCCCAAGGGTATCCTTGCATCCTTGCCTCCTCGGTCCATCCTTGGCGCTCGAAAAGCTTTGAAATGGGCGTCCAAGGCCCTTGCATCCTTATCGCGCATACTTGCTACACGGGTTGATTGTTGCTTGGCTCGCGTCCGATCGGAGGAGGGCCAGTTGCGACATCGGCGGCTGTCGCCCCGCCCACGTCCCCTGAACGTGGGTCCCCAGAGCCCTCCCGAGGTCCAACCCCGGCCTGCGTTTCGAAGCGGATCCAGCCGTGGCGTCGAGAAGCCCCCGGGAGGCCCCCAAAAAAGGGGCAGAGGACGCCAGGGAGTGTCGACGGGCCCGCCTCTCAGCCAGTCCACGTCCCGCGACCGCCCCTGCGAGGCGGGGCAGTCTGCCCCGCGTGCTCCGCGGGACGTCCTGCGCCCCCAGCGCCATCAGGATCACCGGGGGGGAGGACGCAAGCGACCCTTCGATGGACCACTCATCGCCGATGGGAGCCCGGTAGTCAACCCCGCCCAGGAGCGGTCGTGCGCTCTTGCGATCGATTGCCCATCGCCGATCCAGAGGCGATGTATCGCGCCGCTTCCCTGAGAGTCGGCCTCGCGAACAAAAACACAACGTCGTGGACACTCGCGACCGGAGCCCCAGGCCCAATCTCCCTGCTGCATTCTTCGAGCCAGGTCGAGCTGTGACGGCCTCGGGGCCTGAAGCTGGGCGAAACCGCCAGGTGTGGGAGAGCGGCACACCCCAGATCGCAGGGTTCGAGGTCGATTTCCCCCCCCCCTGAGCGAGGGCCTCCCGTAACGATGCCCCTCAGCTTGGGGACTGTTTTTTTGTCAGGGTCCGGCGATAGCCCGTGTTATCGGGCCCGCCCCTCCCCCCTCCCCCCTCCCCCCTCCCCGATAGCCTGACCTCGTCGGCTGCGGAGGCCCGAAGGGGTACGCAGCACTGGTGCGCGCGGCGTGGGGCTGCCCAGAGCGAAACGGTTAGGTCGTCGGCCGGCGCCTCCCTCCCCCACTGGATGACCCGGGTTATCACTCACGACCCCACCCACCATACCACCCCAACCCAACCCGAAGGCCTCCATTTGCCTTCTACTTCCCGGGGGGGGTGGGAGTATTGACAAAAACACGCATGGCACCCGTAGCCCCCCCAACCCGAAATACGGGTCTTCGGGTTGGGTTGGGGTGGTCTGAATCGGGTAGGTCGGTAGTCAACATTTTCTCGGAACATGAAAACTCACGGCAGGGGCTTTCGCCAGGTTCCGGGACCGTCGAAAATGACTCAGCATGGACAATTTGATTCAGGAATGGGTCGAGACCCCTGGAGCTCGACGTCGTGAACAAGTCCTGGCCGCCGAGACCTCTGGAGGTCGCCCTCTGGAGGCCGACGCCGAGGGCAGCGCCCTCCACGGCGCTGCCCTCGGCTCCCGGGGCGCCCCGGCGCCGAGGCCGCGAGCTACGCGGCGGGGCGCGCGGAGCTCGAGGGCGCGCGGCAGCAGCGCGAGCTGGGCGCCTGGCTCGGCAGGGCCGCGGAGCTGCGCGCCCGGGAGGAGCCGCCCGCGCCTCCGGGCGGAGCGGTGCGCGGGCGGCGGGCGGGCGTCCTAGGCCCAAGCCGGCCCCGAGAGGCAGGACCGGCCCTGAGATCGCCTCGGGCCGGACGAAAGGGGGGGATTGGGAAAGAGGGGGTCGTGAAATTTGCTGCATGCATCTGGTTTCTGCCCCACCGAGGGGCCCATTCCTCGATACATAGTCGCCTCCGGCGCCGGGAGGCGCCGGGAAAATCAGCTGCGTGAGCTGATTCTCAAACCCCCCCTTTGCTATCCCCCCCTTTCGCCCGACCCGAATCGCATCGGTGAAGGCATGGTCGCCTCCAGGGCCAGGAGGCGCTGGGAGAGCCAGCCGCAGTCCTCGGAGGAGAAAAGACGCCATGAACAGAAGCCTGTGGCGCTCCGCGCGGATTTCTTGGATCCGCGCTGGGCCTCCCCGGCGGCGCCTCCGGTGCCGCCCCTGGTGCGTTCCGCGCGCGAGGGAGGGGGGGTCAACGCAGATCCAAGAAATCCTCGCGCGGCGCCAAAAGTTTACGTTTGTGCCATTGTTGTTTTTCTTTTATCCGTAAGGGCTCCGCCCCCTGCCGCCGGCCCCCTCTCTCGGAGAATGGGCCATGGAAGAGCTAAGTCATGAGGCCTTGGCGCTGTCGTGAAGCAGTATCGAAACTTCCTGCGAAGCCGATTCGCAATCAGCAAAACCAACTGATCACAAGAGGGGTTACCACACCTGGCGATTGGTAAGACGTGTATGGTTTACGGGCTTGGTTACCACACCTTGCGATTAAAGGGCCGAGGGAGTTCTCGCAGTTTGGTTACCACGCCTTGCGATGGATGTGCGTGAAGGGTGGCACCGAATTTCAGAAATGTGCAAATCCCCTGTGTTTTTGGACCCTGACCCCGCGGATCTGCGTGAGGGGTGGCACCGATTTCAGAAATGTGGCAAATCCCCTGTGTTTTTGGACCCTGACCCCGCGGATCTGCGTGAGGGGTGGCACCGAATTTCAGAAATGTGGCAAATCCCCTGTGTTTTTGGACCCTGACCCCGCGGATCTGCGTGAGGGGTGGCACCGAATTTCAGAAATGTGGCAAATCCCTGTGTTTTTGGACCCTGACCCCGCGGATCTGCGTGAGGGGTGGCACCGAATTTCAGAAATGTGGCAAATCCCATGTGTTTTTGGACCCTGACCCCGCGGATCTGCGTGAGGGGTGGCACCGAATTTCAGAAATGTTGCAAATCCCTTGTGTTTTTGGACCCTGACCCCGCGGATCTGCGTGAGGGGTGGCACCGAATTTCAGAAATGTGGCAAATCCCCTGTATTTTTGGACCCTGACCCCGCGGATCTGCGTGAGGGGTGTCGATTTTGAGCCCCCCTCAGCAATTCGGACAACGCGCCCAGGTGGTGCTAATAATTTGGTTTGGGCCTCCCTCCCCTCGCGCGGTCAATCAACTAGTTACAGTAACCAGCAAGAAGCAGAACTGTAACACTGGAAACTACAAACTACAACCGGTACAGGAAACTGCGAATCACGCTCCTCGCAGCCTGGTGGCCCCACAAGGGGGCCGGCGGATAGTAGATCAACCCTGCCAAGTCCAGGGTGCCCTTGCGTCCTGATGTCTCGCAACCCATGCCTCCTACATTCCTGCGGCAAGGTGGCCTTCGCAAGGGTCTTGTGTCCTCTCGCGTGTCCTGTCCAATCAAGTCCGGCTGTGGAGGGGTTGCAGCCCAGAGAGGTGGAGGGGAGCTGAGCCGGGGACAGTCGCTTTTTATCAAGAACCGCCTCAAATGGCCACAGAGCTCCCTGGGGCGGCCCAAGACAGCTTCAAGCAGCCCACTGGACGGAGGACGGCCGAAAGGGCCCACAAGATGCTCCACAACCCACTTGAGCGCCTGGAAAACCATACGACATAAATCGCGGTCATGTCCTGCCTCTTCGCCCTTCCCTCCTCACTCCCCATGCTCTACCCTGCTCCTCCTGCACCTCCTTGTCCACCTGTTCCTCATCGCTTCCGACTCCAGCACCTGGGTCCTTTCAAATTTGCCGACCCCTTCAAACATCGCCCCGATCCATTCGGAAAGCGTACATGATTAGCATGTTCGCCGGTTTGATCTTTGCAGCGTCCAAGACGGCCCAAGAGGTCCCCAAAATCACCCACTAACCCTCCTTGATGGTCCCAACACGGCACTAGAGGGTCTAAAGACGGCCCAAGAGGCGCCCATGACAGCCCAAGAGCGGCCCCAAAATGGAGAACCCGCGCAGATGTCGAACCCTCCGCCCCAGAAAAATGACCCTTGAGACCGTGTGCAGGCTGACACAAAGTCCCCAAGAGGCCCCCAAAGGCCGAAAAGAGGCACCCAAACTGTCCCCAAGAGGCTCCACGAGGCGTCAACGCTGCCTCCAAGAGGAGCCCCAAGAGCCGCGAATGCCACCCGAGCGGATAAGATTAAGGGGTCGACGAATGAGGAGTGATCGACCCAGCTTCGAAAGAACAATACACGCTTCTAAGTACGTGGTGCAACCACCGAGGTGCATTGTTCAATTTTTCGCAGCGAGTTGTTAACTCCACTGTTTGCGCAATCATTTCACCCACTCGCAATTTGCAAAACCCATGCGGCGGCGCTTGCTGTGACTGCTTGGCGCTGGCTGGCGCATCGCTGCGGCCGCGTTGGCGCACCCAGGCTCGCGCGAAGACCCGCCAGCGAGTCTGGCGCGACCGACGCGGCCGCAGTGACGCTGACCGTTGGGGATGTCCCAGCGCGTCTCGCAGGCCGCGCTCGCGCGCGGGCAAGGCAGTGCGAGTCGGTGACTCGGGCGGGCGCGGTATCATGGCGACGTAGATGACGGCAGACACAATGATGCAAGTAGCGATGTTGTTGACCATGCTTGCGATGATGACGGCACGGCCGCTGAAACGGCCGATGCTATCATGCCGATGACGGTGTTGGTGTCCACCCGTCGGTGATCAAACATTCGAAGGCTTAAGGTTTTCGACATGCGCGCGCGGCCGACGGACGCTTATGGCCCGCATGCTGTTAGTTGACAAGGGTCGCCCCCCCCCCCCCACGCCCACACGCGCACAAACACGCGTTCGAATGATTTCGACATGGGCGCGCGCGAAAAGCCGGGTGAATCGCGTTCGACGGACAAACAATGAAACAACCATGGTTTCCGCAACATGCAAAAGCGCACGCGCCAATCATTTAGAACGTCACGTGGCCGACCTAATGTGTTTGAAGGCTGTTGCAGGAGCGCGCGCGCTGTTTTTGTTGTTCTGAAGTGCCGCGTTGCTATCTGAATGTGTATGTTTATGTTTCTGTATCTAGATGTATCGACAGATGTGTTGTACACGCGCTTGCATACCTAACGGCGCCCACGCTTTGTTTGCATAATTTATTCGGGCGGTCGCCCGTCAACAACCACGCAACAGAGTTTGATGTTAAGCCTACATGTGCGCGCGAGAGTCGCTTGATCGCATGTTGAAAAACCGATTGTTCTCAGAAGGAGTAACACATATCGCAGCGTCTCTTGGGAGAGAACTCGCTTTCAAAACCACCGGTCGTTTAATATGTTCTGGGGCACCCAGGCTTGAAATCTCTACGACATGTTAGGTTGTTGGACACATTCGGCATGCACGCGCGACAACGCGCACGTGTTTTGTTTTGAATAAGTGTAAAGTGCTGTTTTTATTCAGCGAGTGGGCGTGCAGCGCGCATCGTATTTGTTGTCAGGAATGAGGGGTCGAGAAGGGCACTCTTTGAGATTGTCTGATTTCACGTTCAAGATCAACGAGTGGGGACAATCGCGCGTAAACTACCTATTAACAGGGGGGCCGCGAAGACCATGAGGGAGTTATACCCTAATTGTTGTAAGAAAAGAAAGATACGGTGCAAGCGTTGTGGTGCAAGCGTTGTGGTGCAAGCGTTGTGGTGCAATCGAGGGCGGCGACAGGGCGGCAACGGCGACGACATGGCCGCCAGACTTGGCCCGCAAACTCAGACAACGGGCGGCGACGAGGCGGCGACGGCGACTACATCCATCAGGCTGAACCGCAGCCGCAGTTCTTTATTCCAGAGGTAAGAACCCCTAAGTGCAGACACTGTTGGGGGAAGAAGTTCGGGGCCGGGCATCTTCTGTCAGGCGACCGCAAACATGGATCAAGGTGGCGTGGATTAGCGACGGGTCCCGTTTCCATTGGAAATCGCAGACTTCAGCCGCCGAACGAGGCGGCACCAGCGGTATTTTGGGAAGGGCGCCTCCCCCGATCCATGGATTTGGCGACCGCGCGCCCAATCCACGGATCGCTACTCCATGTTTGCGCGCCCCCGATTCTGGCCACACCGCCCGGGTAACGACATGTGGTAAGATGTGCTTGTGCTGCGTGGTCGGCTCGGGCATGGCGCCTCCAGGGTGGGGTGGGCGCAATTGTCTAACCGCGCTATCTGGCACCTAGCCCACCAGCATCTGGCACCCAGGAATTAAGGTTCATAACTGATAATAAAATCCTCGCGCGTCGTCCTCGCCAGAGGTGGTACTGCCCTCCTAGGCCCTCCTCCAGGCCCTCCT